CCCCCCCCCCCGCTCTCGATTATTTGAATCTGAGCTGGACACCATGATCATCTCATTCCCAAAATGGTTTGAAAATTTCCAATTCATCCCATTTCCCCATTTGCAACATGGAAATCCTAGCTAACCGCATATCTATTCATGCACATAAAATCTTCAGGCAAAATAAGTGACCAGGCAGGGTTAGATTTTAATCAATAAAAACCACTTATTACGCTTATGCTACAGAAAAGCTCCGCCCCTATGGCCGGGCCCCGCCCCCAACTATTGGGCCACGCCCCATGAGGCCCCGCTTCTTCCGGCCGGGCCCCGCCCCCACTGCTGTCAGGGCCCCGGCAGCTGTCTGTCCCCCGAGCCGCGGGAACAGGGCCAGGGCCGCTCCAGCGCCCCACGTTACCTTCGCCGGTCGGCCCCACAGCCCGCTGCCTCCATCTTGCTCCCCCGCCTCTCCCAGAGGGGCCGCGCCCCACCCCTCCAGTCAGGGGATTTGCCAGCTCTCGCGAATTGGCAGCTCGGCTCCGCCAATTAGCGCCCAGCGTCTCCAGGCGCCGGGCTCTGATTGGATAAGGTCGTCGGCGGGGCGGGGAGGGGAGGGGAGGGGGGCGGTGTTTAGCTTGGGCCTGAGCTGGGCGGCTCCGTGTGCGCACGCGCAGAAGAGCGTGTCCCTGCGCGCTTCTCTCCCCGCCGTGGGCGGGGCCAAGGTGAGTGGGCGGGGCAGCTGGGGGCGAGTGTTGCTGGCAGGGGTGGGGCGGCCCAAGCAGCCGGCAGCCTAGGGACTTTCATGGTCTGGTTTTCAAGTATTGATGAATGCGTGATGTGACACCTTAGTTGCAATGAGAATAAAACATGGTCAGAAAATAAAAATTAACCCCCCCTAAAAAATAAAGTAAGATAAAAACTTTGAGTGATTTAGGTTGGAAAGAGTTTTTTTTTTTTTTAACGTTGGTCCTTTCCAGCTTCAGGGGCTTTTCCTGCCTCGGAGCACAATTTTTTTGATGTCCGGAGCCGGCTTTATAATCCCCTTCAGCTAAACCCAGCTCAGATGGCCGTTTTTTGTATTATAATTTAAAAATATATATATAATTTAAAAAAATGATAATGCAAAAAAAAAAAAGAAAATGATAATAGAAAAAAACAGCCCATCCCAAACCCATAGATATAGCTTGAAGGCTTGCTGCCTGGGTTGAATGTCTTGGGAGAAGCAGGCAGGGGCAGTAGGATAACAATCAGTGCAACCTGCAAGCGTGCTCACGCTCCTGGTTTCACACAGCGATGTATTTCTATGCTGATCATTTCAGTCTGATGATATTCTGGAGGAGAGGGTGTCGCGTAGCTATGCGGGAGGCCCAAGCCAATGCAGTGTTCACAGAAAATGTACCCACATCAAAAGTAACGTTTATGTGTCTGCACCAGGAAAGCAGCAGCTGCTGAAATGCATCCGTTTTATCCCATGCTGGTGAAAACAAGGTGCTCTCAGATACACCGTAACCAGATTTACTGACCTGCTTCGTTTGGTTCAGCTTGTTTCACGACCAACGCTAAACTGATGAAAGCAATGGCTAAACCAATTTAACTGCATTCAAACTGGGGCTTTGCACAGGTTTGGCTAGATCCGTTTGAAACCAGGGCAACTTTTTAGGTATAAGAAACTTATGCCAGTAGAACAGGTGCCAAATTCCCCTGTGATCGTAAGAGGGGAACCTGAAAACAGTGATGATGTGGATGTGGAATAGGAATAAAACCTGCACTCTCAATGCTTTTGTGCAAAAGGTTTGGAAACGGGCATAGGCGACTGGTGCCTCCTGAGTCTGGGGGGGCACCAGATCGCCGACGGGGGTCCCCCAGCGGCCAATCGCCAACCAGCGACAAAATCAGAAGTGCACTTCCAGTTTTGTGGCTGGTGCTTCCAAGGGGTGCACAGCTGATCTTCCAGGGTGCACCTTCTACGCATTGCCAATGGAAAGGGGCCTTGTTCAGGACTAAAGAGTTCCAACATTAAAGCACTACTGTGCAATTCTTGCAAGGGCTAATAGGAGCAGGCTTTATCTACTACAGGTCCTTTTCTAAAATAGAAGAAACCATAGTTTGAGTTTTTACACAGACATACTTTTATGGTGGGCTATGAGAAATTAAAACCTTCCTGATCAAGTTTGCAGACAGCATTTTTACACCCTCATAGCCTTTGGGGCAAGTGGAACCACACATCTTTCTATTTTCAGGGGGAGGGGGGAGGACAAAAAACAGTTGAAATCACCACGAAATCCCATTGTTATATTCACAATTACAAGTTGAGTAACTTGGATCAGTCATCAGGAGTTTGGTCCATCTCCCAGTCTCAAAGAATAAATATTCAGTTTGTTCAAGATCCGAACTTTGGGTCACCACAAACCTCAGCTACAGCTCAGGTTAGTCGAGGAGAAGTCAGGGGCATCGTTGCTCTGCTGGTCTGCTCCAGTTTTGAGCACTGTTGTAGCAGGTTTTGCTTTTAAGTGTCACTGTCTAGCCCCGTTCTGTAATGTCAGCTACATTTTCATTGACTGGACAGGCCAGAAAGCTGCTACATCAATCAGGTACTTTTATTGCTGCTGTTCCTATTAGACTTCCTTTTGGAGTGGAACCAGCCCTTCATCCTAGGTTCAGCTGGACCATGCTACAAAGTCAACTTTGCCTTGCCAATACTAGTCCTCTTATGATGGACACAAAACAAAATGGCCCTTTATGTATTTCCTAGAATTATAGGCTTCATCTCTAATGCAGAAAATTCATAAAGTTTTTCAATGAAGCCAAGATTTGTTAGCTAACAAAAGTCATTCACTCATCTAGTCAGTGTGAGCCTTCACCCAGGTACCTCCTGCACAATTCCTATATTCCTGCATTAATACAGTAATTAAAGTAACTATTATTAAAAACATTCATCAAAACAAAAAAATTCTGACCAAAGCAGGAAAACTTGGTAAGAGGAATTTTGGGTAAATATTGTTTTTTTTTTTGTAAATTAAAGTAGGCAGAGCTGTTTTTCTCCTTTCTGCTACAATAGGGAGAGCAGAGGATTGTGCTCTCCGTTTTCTGGCCCTTAGTTTACAGTCTGGAAAAAAAGTTACAAAACAAATTGCGCTGTTTTCCAGTTACCCTTATGCTCTGCTTGGGGTTCTGATTTCTAGACTTTAGGATTTAGCTTTGAGTACTGATTAGTAATGTACAAACACTTCACTGAACAATAATCTTGCTTTAATGGCTCATCACCAGTTTTAATTGCCAATAACAAGTAAGTGGTGATATCTGCAATCCAAATGACATCTCACAAAAAGGTGTAAACAGCATGAAAAAATGCTCTGGATATCTGAGTACTAATACGCTTTAATTGGCTTGACATTTACTTCTTTTTCAATCTTGTTAAATAAATTAGCATATCAGGCTCTGTTAAGGGTATTGTACACACTTTATAGGGTAGACTCAATTAACCTGCAGCTCCTAAAATGCTTGCAAATATTCATTATTTAACAATGCATCACTGCAGTTTGTATACAGTCCACATTATAGTGTAACTTCAGTATGTTAACCACAGAAAAATGCCATTTTGGTTTCTTTTCCTGATACCTGCAACAGCATACAGTATACTTACATTATATTAAAATTTCAGCCAGTTGCAAGGGGACTTGTGCAAGAGCCCTTTGCCTCTGTTGTACAGTGCGGTTTTAGATTGCTGATATAAAATAGATTTCTTTAATCATTTACTGTAGAAACAAACAGAGCAAAATAAATCTTGAAGAACACATTGCAGATTTTATTTTTGCAAGATCAGCATGAAGAGCGAGAGGGACTGGGTGCTGTGATGTTCACCTAGAAAACCTCTATATGCTACTGGATTATTATTCCAGGGTCCCCAGCTACATGCCACATATCTGATGCAGTTAACTGGTCAATCACGCAATAAATTTAGACCAGCCACACACGCAAAGTAAGTCTTACACCATAAAAATGACTATCCAGCTTTAAAAAAAGCCAACCAGCTATTAAGTTAGTGCTTGAAAATGTAATAACTCTATAACTGGTTTCTATCCAGCTTTAATTTGAATGTGTATCAGGGCCCCAGACTACAGTATAACTATATCACACTTCAAATTCTGAATGAGAAAGCTGAAGAGGAATACAGATGTGCTTCAAAAAACAAGCACCAATGTATAATTAATGATGATGTGCATTTGACAAATTTCTTCTTTAAAAATTAAATTAAGTTTGCATTATTTATAATAATTATCTCTTGACAATATGCTTGCTACTGGCAAAAGGGTAAACTAAACAGCCCATTTCACACACCCTATTCCTACAATAAAGAAAATGCTCCTACAACAAGGATTGTGGTTCTTTCAGGCCAGATCTACAAACATGGGGTCCAACATACAAGCTCTTAGTATTAAGCAAAATTACTTAGTACTATGAGTAACCCCACTGAAGTCTACTCATGGCAGTATGCATTGAGAAAGACTGTGGCTGCTGGCAAACAATTAGCCATGCAATTTTTAAATCAATGCTGGGCTGTACAGCAAGGCTTTTCATTTGCTGGTGTGCAGAGAGCCCACCAGCTCCCCACATGTGGGAACTGTTAAAGCTAGGCCATGCAACCGAATGCTGATGCAATAGGATGCTGGGCTACATGGTAAGGCTTAACATGCCACGTGTTTAAGATAAACTCATAGAATGTAGGCTGGAAGGGACCTTGGAAGATCATCAGTTCTGGTCCCCCTTCACCGAGCTGGAAAGATAACTGGGGTCAGGTGACCGCAGTAAGGTGACCGTCCAGTCTCCTTTTGAAGATTTCCAGGGTAGCCAATTGCACCACCTCTGGAGGGAGTTCATTCCACAGTCTGGACACCCTAGCTGTGACGAAGTTTTTCCTAATGTTGAGCCTGAATCCATCTTCCAGGAGTTTGCGACTATTGTTCTTGGTTTTCCCCAAGGGTGCCCTGGTGAACTGTTGTTCACTGTGCCCTTGATGTACACATCTGATGTAGCGGTAAACTGCTACCAAGTCCCCTCTCAGCCTT